ATACAGTAAAATGAAAAGGACTACGGAGTAGTATTTTATTAGGATATCTGTACTTTTACTCAAGCATAGTTCGTCCACTAGTGCATATTTGTCTGGTTTTATTACCTGCCCTTATCTAGGATGTGCTATGACATAAATCCAAGAATAATAAGGCAAATTGCACTAGCTGGCTTTTAAATAGCTGCCCAACATCGCAGTGATACAAAACGTAACTCCATTTACACTTTTACATGCAACAATGGGAAGAAAAGCTGAGCAGGAAAACTCACACAGAGAACTGACCCATTCACCTGATTTATACCCAGTGACTGCCCCCAGCTGTTCAGATTGCCAGAGCCAAGACTAAGCATGCATAGCTGAATGCTATTTATTGGGAATACAAACCCTTTAGCCAAAAGCAAAGGTGCCAAAAGAACTACGTAAAAAATCAAATTCACAAGTGTCGAACCCCACGGAGCTGAAACCATTTCAGACTCCATCAAATCAGCACAGGCATAACAAATCGAAAGTTCTCAACATTACAAAGGGCTCTTTTTGTGAAACAACGGCCTGCGTATACGGATCAAATGGGATGTCCGACCATCCCCTTAAACTAACATACACAAAAGAGAGAAAATGAAATAGAAGCGCACAGCAAAATCCCCTTTGTCTCCCTCCAAAGCTGTTCAAAGAGAACAAATTGCCAGAAACTGTTAGATCCAACAGCTAGCGGAAATAATTCACAGCTTCATTGTGTGACTATTAAGGTCTGCAACTGAGGGGCTTCTGTTTCAAAATATTTTGTCAGGCCTTCAGTGAGAGATGAACAGCACCGTCTGGCACTTTGTGTGCGGCCAGCACAATGACTCATTGTGACAGAAGAGGAAAGTGGGCTTTTGGGATCTGGAGAGAGGGGATATTAATCACAACTCCCTGAACTGCCCCAATCTGGGTTCGGTGGCCCGTCTCGGTTCATTGTGATTAACACGACTGAAGAACAAACGATGTCAGAAGCCCATCATGATGACTAACTTATGCCGCAAAGGATTGTTCGTTCCAGCTCAAGGTAAACATCCCATCATGTCTGCTTCTCATTTACAACATTATAAAACGTGTCTCATCAGTATCAATGATCACGTGAACTAATGACCCGTTTTAGTATATGGATGTTTGATACCTAAATGCCTGCAAAACCCAACATTATTTACATTTACAGCAAAGAACCTGTGATTCTTTTATACTTA